CGCAGTGCCGGGGACGACGGTGGTGTTGCTCATGGCGCTGCTCGCGTTCTCGCTCCTGCTTTAACACATCAAACACACAACAAACAGTGAGAGGGAGGGGAGAGAGGAACCGGTTCGCCGGAGAGGGGACAGGAGGTTGTCCGCTGTTACAGCCGCTGCTGCTGCCTCCGCCGCCGTTTCTCCGCCCCGCCACTCGCCGGGGGGAGGGGACAGAGCGCGCGAGTTCGAGACCACGAGCAAACAAACGGCCACCCCCACCTCGCCTCCAACCACCTCAACCGCGGCCAGAACTCCCCACAATGCCTTGCGGCCCGGGCGCGTCACCGCCGGCTCCGCCCCGCGCAGGCCCGGCGAGTCTCGCGCAGGCGGGAGACCGCGAGAAGCCCCGCGGGCTGCTGAAAGACGTCATCCCTCTTCGCTCCCCCCTTTTTTATATTTTTTGGTAAGAGAAGTGAAAGGCATCATTTTTTTAAAGGCAATATTCACTCCCCTGCAAAATAAAAATGCACACTTTAGTAACTATTCTTATTAAAGATGCCCACGATATTTCTTTATACAGTCAACTACAGGTCTGTGGAGTAAGCCATGAAATTCCCACCCTACCCACCAAGATTTTCCTCTCCACTAGTATAAGATTTTCTGCATCTTTACATACATTTTGGTAACATTAAGTTATAATTTGCTTTGTCGGTAAACCTTCAAAAATATCTATTTTAATGTTACACTTACTAGTGCTTTATAAGCTAATTTACTTCACAAGTCGACTATCTAAAAGCATATTGTATGGTATCTAAATATACTTCAAGTATAAGATCTGAAAACTGCAGAAAAACTTGCTCTACGTGTATATTTTTGCATAATAATTTTTGAAGCTTTTGACTCTAACTACATGCTCGCATAATTTTCCGACCTCATCTACACTCTCACTTCCATCAGTGTCATCCAACGACTTGCAGCCCCCAAACCTGCCTGAAGCTCCCACCGCGCTGCGCCTGCAGAAGTTACCGATGGCCGCCCTCCTGGTATCTAGCTGCCCTCTTCGCAGGCCCTTCTTCCCTTGCTGCCACGCGTCTGCAGGCAGGCAGGGCTTCCTCCCCTCTGCCTAACAACAGGGGATATTTAACTTTGTGCTGACACGCATCCCCCCCCCCGCAAAGCTGTGAATCTTCTGGGTCAGCTTAGGGCCTAGCACAACGTCTGTCAGAGTCAATGCTCAATAAATGTGTTGAACACACGCATAAATAAGCCTTAATAAAGAGCCATGTATTCTATGACAATTATTAATTTATCCGATCTGGAATATTTTTGGAGGTTAACAACTGAGGCCTTATGGAATATTTTCATAAGTAAATATACCTGTATGAAATAATGCAGTCAAGAGTGTAATTTGTGAGAGATGATTAGAACACAAAGTTGTTGAGATTTGATGTAGAGCCAACCGGCTAGTTTACTTACTAGCTAACACACTTGTGCTAACTTTTATATAAAAGAGGGATGGGTTGGTGAATGTAACCCTCAGCAAAATTACAACTAATTGTATGTCAGTCATAAATCTGTATCTACAAATATTAAAAATGTCAGTAATTTATTTTCTCATTTTGAAACAACATATGTAACGGCCAATTAGATTCTTAACAGTTTCATAAAAATAATCTGTGTATCAGGACATACAAAATGGAGGTTGCCCCCGGCGCCCCACCCATATCACAAATCTAAATCTGTCAACCTTACACTTAGGGAAAACACCTGTGAAGGAAACCACCAATCAAAACCATCCGAATGAGCTTTAGCGGGCTTACCTTACCCTAGAACAGTGATTTTCAACCTTTTTCATCTCATGACACACATAAATTACTAAAAAAAAAAAAAAGGAAAAAAAAATTTTTTTGTTAACCCTCACACGAGGATATTTTTTCCATTGAATTTTTTAGAGAAAGGGGAGGGGAGGAAAGAGCGGGGAGAGAGAAAGAGAGAAACATCGATATGAGAGAGACACATTAATTGGTTGCCTCCTGCACGTGCCCAGAACAAGGCCCGGGATGGGGCCAAGAATAGAACTTGCAAGGGAGGTTCGTGCCCTTGACCTAGAATCCAACCAGGACCCTTTGGTCTGGCTCTAACCACTGAGACAAACCAGCCACAGCAAAAAAAGGTATGATTTTGACTTACACCGGATGACTATTGCTGTGTTGGCTGTTGTCATTTTGTATCTGACATTCTAAGGGAAAAGCGGTCCCTGACTAAATAGGTATTGCATGTTTTAAAAATTCTTGCAGCACACCAGCAGCACACAGGTTGAAAACTGCTGCCTCAGAAAATAGAAACTGCTAAAGCCTCAGAAGAAAATCCTGGCCAGTCTTGCCATTTCCACATTGCCTCTTCTAATGATCTAAAATTTACTCTTGTCCCAAATCCCTTGGAAAGAGTGCCCTACTGCTTGGGAGGCAATGTAGTCCCCAATCTATGGATTGTTTTCCTTGAATAAAGGACATCAAACTTGTTTTAATTTTGTCATATAACAAGTTCAATACTTAGTAGGAGTGCCTACTATGTGCTAAGCATGCTACAATGTTGTGATAAAAGGACAAATAACACAAGAGCAAGGTTTATGCATATTTTTTTAATGTTAATCTTTTTATTCTCTGTGGGAGATACATAGAAATCTTTTGTTATTCTACACTTTTCTGTATGTTTGACATATTTCATAATTAAAATTACATACTCAAACCAAAGAAAAAGATAGTTCTCTGATAAGATAAAAATCTTTTAAATAATCATAAGTGAGTTTGTGTATAATAACTTATTGAACATACAGATAGATGATGCTTCCATATGAAGAAACAAAGTGGAAAAAATCTTATTCTAATATGGAGTATTTTTTAATATTTTACTTCAAATAATCAATCAGCTAGAAAAAATACTGAACTAGGAGCTAGAAGGCTGGCTTAAAATACTACCTGATTATTCATTAAGCATGATTTGAGGAAATTCACTTCACTTCTAAGAACCTACTTCAGTCAGGAGCTGAGGAGATGAATTGTAATTCTGAAAATCATTTTAGGTCTAATAAATAGATTAAATAACTAACTACTTTGCGTATTACTGTGTTTCCCATAGAAATGAAAAGCTAAAGGCAAGTAACATATATTTCAAAGTAAAATAGCAAATATATCCAACCTATGCTAGTTTTAAATCACTTCAGATTTGTTTAGGTTCCCAACTAAGCAAGATTACAAGTAGTACAGAATCTGGAGGCAGGTATCATGTCTGTCTTATTTACTTTAACTCTAGTATTATAAGAGGCTGTTTAAAAACTTGCAAATTCTTTCAAATATTATGCACCTACTATGGTCCAGGGTTTTTCCTAAACATTTGGAATATAGCAGAGAAAAGACAGGCAGTGTCCCTGATCTCATGAAACTTTGGGTCTAGTATGGGAAACTTTCAATAAAAAATACAAAGATGTAAGGGAGAAATGTGCTGTGATGAAAATAAGCCAGGGTAGACGATGAGGGAGATGGTGTTATTTGAGCCATTTGAATTTCTGGGGGGGACACAATCCAAGCAGATGAAATAGAAAATTAGAAAGGTCCTGAGGATAAGAACAAGTTTGAAGAAAAGTAGGAAGACCATTTTTTTTGAATGAATGTTTTCTAGTTCATATTTCAAAGAGACTTATATGGAGATCCTTCCTATCATTATCATGTGAAAGACGTATGTATAGAGAAGAGTCAGAGAGCATTTTTGAGAATGGGTTAGGGAAGGATTCCTGTTATATCTGAATGTTTCTAATACAAAGGAAAAAGTGTCCTGCCATTTTGGCCTATATAGCCATATAGCTTCTACATGCATATTATAATGCGTAATTTCTGATAGGCTTCTGAAATTCAGAAAACTTACAGGTTCTCCATAATGGTGCCCTAATGCTCATAGGTGGGGGACCACCACGAGCACACTACTAAAAATTTTAACTGGTGCTCGATATTGGCAAGAAAGTCTATCAAATAATATTAGAAAATAATGCTTTAAGCAAACCCTCTAAAACAATACCAATCCTGTCATAATGAATAAGCTTTAAGTTCTTTCCAGTATCAAGCTTCTAAAAGATCTTATGTATAAAATAATGAAACTAGACCCCTATATTACCCTATTCACAAAAAGTAACTCAAAATGGATTAAAGACCTGAAACTATAAAACTCCTAGACGAGAACACAGGAAAATAGTCCCTTGATATGGGACTTGACAAGATTTTTTTGATTCGACACCAAAAACACAAACAACAAATACAATAAAAAATATATACATGGGACTACAACAAACTAAAAAGCTTCTGCACAGCAAAGGAAACCATCAACAAAATGAAAAGACAAAGATATTTGCAAACAATATATCTGAAAAGAGGTTAATATCCAAAACATACATGGAAGTCATATAAGTCAACAAGAAAAAACAAATACTCCTATTAAAAATGGGCAAAGGACCTGAATAGAAGTTTGTCAAAAGTATATGAATAGCCAATAGGTACAGAAAATGATGCTCAGCATCCCTAATCTTTAGGAAAATGAAATTCAAAGCCACAATGAGATATCACCTCAACGCCTGCTGGAATGGATAGCATCAAAAAGACAAGAGATACCAAATGCTGGGGAGGATGTGGTGAAAGAGGAACCCTTATGCACTACTGCTGGGACTGTAAATTCATAAGGCATTATGGAAAATAATATGCAGGCTCCTCAAAAAATTAAAAATAGAACTACCATAAAATACAGCAATCCCACTTGTGGGAATATATCTGAAAGAAACGAAAATACTATGTTGAAGAGGTATCTGTACTC